TGTGATGACAGAGCCATGTGAGTCTGACCTACCTTCCTTCCTTCCCTCACCCCTCCTTCCTCCCCTATTTCCTTTCCTCCTCCCTTTCTTCCTTCCTTCCATTCCTCCACCCCTTTCTTTCCTTTCCTCCCTACCATATTTCCCTCCCTTTTTTTCCTTCCTTTCTCCCTCCCCCCCCTCCTTCCTTTCCTCTTTCCTTTCTTTCTTTCCTTCCTCCCCTCCCTTTCTTCCTTCCTTCCCTTCCTCCTTCCCTCCCTTTGTTTCCTTCCTTCCCTCCCTTCCATATTTCCCTCCTTTTTTTTTTCCTTCCTTCCTCCCTCCCCCCTCCTTTCCTTTCTCTTTCCTTCCTCCCCTCCCTTTCTTCCTTCCTTCCCTTCCTCCTTCCCTCCCTTTCTTTCCTTCCTTCCTTCCCTCCCTTCCATATTTCCCTCCCTTTTTTTCCTTCCTTCCTCCCTCCCCCCTCCTTCCTTTCCTCTTTCCTTTCCTCCCTCCCTTCCTTTCCTTCCTCCCCTCCCTTTCTTCCTTCCTTCCCTCCCTTTTTCCTTCCTTCCTTCCCTCCCTTCCTTTCCTTCCTTCCCTCCCTTCCATATTTCCCTCCCTTTTTTTTCTTTCCTTCCTTCCCTCCCTCCCTTCTTTTCCTTCTTCTCTCCCTCCCTTTCTTCCTTCCTTCCTTCCTACAGTTTGTACCCTCTCCCTGCACTATGCGTCAGACCTCCGCACTGTGTGTCATTTTGTTTCTCTATTGATGTAAAGCACTTATTTTCCTTTTATGTTTACATTGCTTTTTGATAATATTGTTAAAGTCGCTGTTGTTAATATTTATTTTTGTACCTTTATTCTGCATAAAACACTTAATAGTGTCATTCCATGAGATAACTTATGATGGTGTGTTTAGGGGCGCAATTCTGGGTGGGGCAGGGAAGGGATTGGGTGGGACAACTGCTGGTGAGTAACTCTTAAGCCATGGCTAGTAGCTCAGGACTTTAAATTTTGAGCCCTGTCATTAGTACAGTGACAGTGTACAGTATTAGCACTGATTACTGTATTAAGTTGTATTGATGTCAGTTAGTGTACCTCCCAGCCAACGCCAGATTGACCTCCACACTATCACAGTCTCACTATAAGTTGCTGATCACTGCCATCACTTGTATAGCATCATATCTGCATTAATTCCAGTATGTATACCAAATGTTTTAGATGCTATAACTTTTGCACAAACCAATTAATATACACTTATTGGGATTTTTTTTTTACCAAGGACATGTAGCAGAATTAATTTTGGCCTAAATTAATGAAGAAATTTGTTTTTGTTTTATTTTTTTATTGGATGTGTTTTATAACAGAAAGTGGAATATATTGTTTGTTTTTTAATTTTTTGTCTTTTTTGTTTATATTGCAAAAAATAAAAACCCAGTGGTGATGAAATACCACCAAACAAAAGCTTTATTTGTGTGAAAAACATTATAAAACTTTCCATTGTGTACAGTGTTGCATGACCACTCAACTGCCAGTTAAAGTAGCACAGTGCTGAATAGCAAAAATGCTCTGGTTATGAAGGGGGTAAAATTTTCCGGAGCTCACTTAGTTAACAGGTGATTTACAAAACCAGCCTCTGCCTAGATATAAGAGATGATGGCTTGAGGTACAAGAGAAATCAGAGTTGTACTGAAGAAGAGCGTCGCTGCATAAACAGTAGCTACATGGAAGAGAATATCGTACGAACAATCGCCTGTTTTTTTTTTCGCCTGCTAATCTCACATCGAAAGTTTTAGAAAAGGTTATTAAAGATATGAAAATTCTCCTATGAAAGAAAAGAATTTCTAAAGTGATGTTATGTATTGTATTTTATTTGTATTGTATTTTCAGACAACTACTGTACTGATTAAACGAAAATTGTACGATCTGATATCATACGAGAAAATGTTTTGCACTTGTCCCTTCAGATATTGTCGCACAAATTGTCGTGATCGGATCTCAAAAGCTGTGTACTAATGATCCGATTATCGGACGATCGGTCCTCGTACGAAAATTTTTGTACAATATTCTCATATTGTGTATGGGGCATTAGTTTCAAGCAGATAACTCTTTTGAAATACAATGCCAAAGACATGGCGGATTAATTTGTGTTTTAACCACTTGCAGTCCGGACACTTTTACCCCTTTCCTGTCCAGGCCAATTTTCAGGTTTCAGTGCTATCACACTTTGAATGACAATTGCGCTGTCATGCAACACTGTACCCATATGAATTTTTTAGCATTTTTTTTGAGACAGATAAAGCTTTATTTTGTTGTTATTTATTTACCTTTGGGATTTTTATTTTTTTGCTATGTAAATGAAAAAGTCCAAAAATTTTGAAAAAAAAGTGTTTTTCTTATAAAATTTTGCAAATAAATAGTATTTCATCATAAATCTTGGCCAAAATTTATTCTGTTATCTTTTTAGCAAAAAAAAAAAAAAAAACCCAAATTAGTGTATAACCAAAAATTATAATTTTTAAAAAAAACATTTTTTTTTTTTTTTTACATACTGTCACCCTAGCAGTACAGTGTCACCATGGTGACACTGTACTACTTGTGGGGGGTGATGAAGATTTTTTTTTTTTTTACACTGATTGCTTTTACACCCATAAAGACTGTAAAAGCAATCATTTCTCCTCTCTAGCTGCATTCTTGCAGCCATTGAGAACTACTGTGTGAGCTGTGATTGGTCACAGCTTGTCGCATGGTACAAAGCTGTTGTGAATAGCCTTATACCATGTGACCTCTGTGATCATTCACAGATTTCACACATAGTAAGCAATGATGTCAGAAGTATCATCTTGCTTACTACACTGCATGTGATCACTGATTGGCCAATCAGTGATCACATGATCGGGACCTCGCACAGATGTCCTGTCCGACGATCGGTATTCCAGTGTCTGGAGGACACACAGCGGGCACCGGATCGCGGTGCTGCACGCTCCCAGGGAGTGTGCACAAGTAGGGTGCAGGGAGGCCGTTTATAAATGGCCACCCGACCCTGCACTGCCACAGTCCATCCGTTTATATACATGGGCCGGACGGGAAGTGGTTAAGTAAAAGAAACAATATTTCATTGAGGTCCTACTGCAAATACATTTTGATTAGGTTTCTTTATTTTGTTAGCTAGCACAGATGAGTATTGGGAAACATTAGTATACAGTAAATGTCTCCTCGTGCAACTTTTTAGCTAGTTAAAAAACTGACCCTGGAGCTTCATGCTCTCTTGGGTGCATACATATGTTGAGTCAGCTGTTACCTAGAGAAAGCCTAGTACTTTCATGCTGTAGTACCTTTACAAAGGGAAAGGGTAACCTCAACCTTGCTCTCGATGTATTAACCACTTGCCCTCTAGAGGACTTACCCCCCCCCCCTTCCTGACCAGGCCATTTTTTAGGATAGTGTTACTTTAATTGACAATTGCGCGATCATGCAATGCTGCAGGCAAATTAAATTTATGTCCTTTTTCCTCACAAATAGAGCTTTCCTTCGGTGGTATTTGATGGCCTGTGCGGATTTTATTTGTTGTGCTAAAAAAAAAAGATAGACAATTTTGAGAAAAAAAACTATATTTTTCAACTTTTTGCTATTAAACATGTCCATTAAAAAATTTAAAAAAATCAAATTTAGTAATAAATTCAGGCCAAAATGTATTCTGCAGTATGTCTTTGCTAAAAAAAAAAAATCCCAATACATGTAAATGAATTGGTTTACATGAAAGTTATAGCAGCTACAAATGGCAGTATAGATACTGGAATTTTTTTTTAATACTTGTAATGGCGGCAATCAGCGACTTATAGCGGGACTGTGGCGGACATTCTGACACTAGAGGGAACTGACTAACTGTCACTGACATCCCTAGTGACACTAATACAATAGTCAGTGCTAATAAAAAGCACTAACACTGTACTAATGACACTGGGCAGGAAGGGGTTAATATCTGGGGCAATCAAAGGGTTAATTGTGTGCTGTGTGTGCTTTAGGCTCCATGCACACTGGGCGTTTTGTAAAAGCTGGTAATGTTAGCTGTGTAAAGTCAAGTTAAAAACATGAATCCACTCCTTATGAAAGTCCCCAACGCTTTTGAATGGCCTTTTCCTGACAATCCTCTCCAGGCTGCGGTCATCCCTGCTGCTTGTGCACCTTTTTTCTTCCACACTTTTCTCTTCCACATAACTTTCTATTAATGTGCTTTGATACAGCACTTTGGGCACATCCAACGTCTTTTGCAATTACCTTTTGAGACTTTCCCTCCTTATGGAGGGTGTCAATGATGGTTTTCTGCACAACTGTCAGGTCAGCAGTCTTTCCCAGGATTGTGATTCCTACTGAACCAGACTGAGAGACCATTTAAAGGCTCAGGAACCCTTTGCAGATGTTATGGCTTAATTAGCTGATTAGAGTGGGACACTTTGAGCCTAGAATATTGCACCTTTTCACAATATTCTCATTTTCTGAGATTGTGGATTTGGAGTTTTCATGTGCTGTAAGCCATAATCATCACAATTATGACAACTCATGGCTTGAACTATCTAGCTGTGCATGTAATGAGTCTATCTCATATATTAGTTTCACCTTTTAAGTTTCATTACTGAAATAAATGAACTTTTGCACGATATTCTAATTTTCCGAGTTTCACCTGTATACTCTTGCCGCTCTGTATCAATATTTCTGCTATAGGGCGGCAGGAAAGCGGTTAATCGGCATACATCTCCAACTACAGGTACTACTATAAGATTTGAGTAGAGACCTCCCTGGGCTTTGAGAGCAGCTGTTATTACACTTGTGGCTGACACAAGTACAGCTACTAAGTTCATGTGATAGAAACAAAATTTAACAAAATGTCTTATCTTTCTTTAATTCCTTAAATCTTGGCACACTTGTTTTCATGTGAACTGCATAAAAACAATTAACATGCAATTGTACTACTCTTTTTAAGTGACTCTCAGGCTAAAATGTCAACTTCCCTTTCATAAACTGACATTTTGTTTTTTAACCACTTCTCGTTCGGCCCATGTACATAAACGGACAGACGGGAGCAGTGCAGGAACAGGTGGCTGTTTATAAACAGCCTCCGCATTCACTGCCTGTGCGCGCTGCCTGGGAGCGCGTGTCACCATGATCCAGAACACTGATCGCTGTATGGGACCTCTGTGTGAGGTCCCGATTCATGTGATCTCTGATTGGCCACTTCCTGACATCATTGTTTACTACGTGTGAAATCTGTGAATGATCACAGAGGTCACATGGTACAAGGCTATTCACAACAGCCTTGTACCATGTGACAAGCCATGACCAATCACAGCTCTCACAGTTTTTCTCAATGGCTTGAAAAATGCAGCCAGAGAGAAGGAGAAATGATTGCTTTTACAGCCTTTATGGGTGTAAAAGCAATCAGTGTAAAAAAAGTAAACAAAAATATTCAACTCCCCCCACAAGTAGTACAGTGTCACTATGGTGACACTGTACTGCTAGGGTGACGTTATGTGTGAAAAAAAAAACAAAACGTAATTAATAACATAAAAAAATGTAAAAAATGTTTTTGAACAATTATAATTTTTGGTTATAAACTAATTTGGGTTATTTTGTTTTACTAAAAAGATAGATGAATACATCTAGGCCAAGATTTATGAAGAAATATTATTTATTTGCAAAATGTTATAGGGAAAACACTTTTTTTCAAAATGTTTGGACTTTTTCGTTTATATAGCAAAAAAATTAAAATCCCAGTGGTGAATAAATACCACCAAAATAAAGCTTTATCTGTCTCAAAAAATGCTAAAAACTTCATATGGGTACAGTGTTGCATGACCGCGCACTTCTTATTCAAATTGTGATAGCACTGAAAGCTGAAAATTGGCCTGGACAGGAAGGGGGTGAAAGTGTCCGGACTTGAAGTGGTTAATAAAATTATGTGTCCATTTTTTTTTTATCCTTTTGTGCAACCCAGTATTGCTGTTTTCCTCTAACCTTTTTTCACCACTTCCTGTCTGCATGCACTCACTTCTGCCTCCACTGCACATTATTGCTCTGAATGACTCCCTGATAATGACAATGCCTGCACACTATGGGGTTGATTTACTAAAACGGGAGCATGCAAAATCTAGTCCAGCTCTGCACAGAAAATAATCAGCTTGCAGGTTTTATTGTCAAAGCTTAAGTGAACAAGCTGAAGTTAGAAGCTGATTGGCTACCATGCACAGCCGTAGCAGATTCTGAGTTCCCCACTTTTAGTAAATCTCTCCCTATGTGCAGGCACCGCCTCTTGAAGAATCCACCAAAAGAACACGTGAAAAGGTGACAACAAAGAAGTACAACTGGGAGGTAGTTGTCAGCCTATATTAGGAAATTCCTGACCAAGGACCTTTGTGTCAGAATCATCAGGAATTATTTTAAAGAAAGTTGCTTATTTAAAAAAGATTGAAAACTTTTTAAATTACAATAACATGTAACAGTTTCCATAAGATTTTAGGAAGTAAGTTTAAATATAACTTTGGGGACCATCAGTTGTTCATATATTTATTTTTCAGTACTTGCCACTTGTCAGCCAACTGTATGAGAATTACTGAATTATAGATTTAGTTTTCATGAATGATGCAGGGAATTATCATATATCCTCCTGCTGTCATTTTATGATAATGTAGTTGGATAAAAGGAAACAATTGGCTACATATACACATGACACTTATTTATTTCTGTTGTCTAACTGAAGTAATTAAAGAATGTGGAAACCTAGCAATGCTTTTTTAACCACTTGCCCTCCAGAGAATTTATCCCCCTTCCTGACCAGGCCATTGTTGGCGATACAGCGCTGTGTTACTTTAACTGACATTTGCACAGTCATGCAACTTTGCACCCAAATGAAATGTATGTCTTTTTTTCCCCACGAATAGAGCTTTCTTTCGGTGGTATTGGATTGCATGTGCGGTTTTTATTTTTTGCGCTATAAACAAAAAAGGCTGACAATTTTGAAAAAATATATATTTTTGACTTTTTGCTATAAAATATATCCAGTAAAAAAATTAAAAAATTCTAATTTCGTCATAAATTTAGGCCAAAATGTATTCAGCTACATGTCTTTACAAATGGCGGTATATATACTGGGCTTTTTTTTTTTACATTTCTACTGGTAATGGCGGAGATCAGCGACTTATAGCAAGACAGCGGGACTGCGGCGGGCATTCTGGCACTGGGGGGAAGTGTCTTGGTGTCACTGGCATCCCCAGTGACACCAATACAGTGATCAGTGCTAATAAGAAGCACTGACAGTACTAAAGGCACTGGGCAGGAAGGGGTTAACACCTGGGGCGATCAAAGGGTTAACTCTGTGCAGCTTTACATGATATTCTGTGTTTGTGCTTCACTGTAAGCACACTGCTTTACACAGCCATTCAAAGCAGTGTGCTGGAGCTGACAGAAAGGGTTAACTTTGTGCTGTTTTACTATGTTGGCTGTGTCTGTGTTTCACTGTAAGCACACTGCTTTGTATGGCTCTTCTATGCAGTGTGCTGGAGCTGACAGGAGAGAGATCTGTATTGTTTACATATAGGTCCCTCCCCTGTCGGAAATCTTGGAGGTCACTGGGTGCTGGCAGGGGATCTCCGGCCGGGACCCAGTGATTGACAGCCGAGGACATGAATGGTGGCGTGGATAGGGCTTGTGTGTGCCCCCTACCTGGATCTGCAAAATCACGTATATATACGTGACTTTGAGCATCTGTCCCGCCCTGTAGCAGTATTTCTGCTATAGGGCGGTGCGGAAGCAGTTAAACTTTCACACATGTATTGACAGCTAACATTTTGTTAATTCAGTACAAAAAGTAATTCAACATTAACTTGCCTTGCTTTGCACTTTGTTGATTTTTGCATTGACCTTTACCAAGGGAACTGTATGGAGTTTGTATAGTCTCCATGAGTTTGCTTGAAATTAATTTGGTGCTTTGGATTTCTACAATCTATAAATATATTATGTTAACTGGATACTAAATTGGCCCTGTTCTGTGTATGGGTTCAGTAGGGACAAACAGCGACTTATTATTTTTTATTGGATATACTGGTTCTGAATGTCTTGCTTATTTATAAGTCTGCCCAGGGCAATGTCTAAGCTCATTGTTGCTAAATTTTGACAAGGCTGAAATAAATCCAATGAAATTTAATTTGTAATGTTGCCAGTTTATAAAGATCATGCCCATTTTCTTCATCCAACTTTTTGCTGATGATTTCAACCTCCTTAAATCTGGTATACTCTACTATTTTCATAGGTACATCTTCAAAATTTGACACATCTCTGAACATCACCCAAACTATTCTTCTTTAACGTGTGATTGAAAACATTATTTCTACAAGAACATTGTGAGAATCCCTGCAAAACCTGGATAAACAGAGAACTTCTGTGTATGTAATAAGACTAGCAAATCACATTTGATGATCACATAGCTCCATCTGCTGGCACAAAGATAGAAGACACTTTTCTTGTTAAAATCAAATATTACCGGATAAAAAATATTTTACTTCATGTAATGTTCCTTTCCAGTAAAAGATGTGTGGCTGTGGTGTTACTTTGTGTGTGTCTGTGGTGTTACTTTACCATGTCAATTTTTTAATTTAATTTTAATATGGAATATCTTATTTGAATGAAAAGTCTTTTATAATATGAAAAAAAGTTGTAATAAAAGTTTGCATCTGAAACTTTTTAAATTTTTAAATTTACATAGGTAAAGACACTAATGGGTTTGTTTACCAAAGTTGGAGAGTGCAAAATCAGGCTTACTTCTGCATAGAAACCAATCAGCTTCTAACCTCAGCTTGTTCAATTAAGCTTTGGCAAAAAAACTGGAAGCTGATTGGTTTCTATGCAGAAGTGGGCACGCTCCAGCTTTAGTAAATAAACCCCTAAGAATCAATAATACTAATGAATTATGCATATGCCCCTCATCGTTTTATCTTACCGGGTAGGGAGCACAAAGAGGATCTTCGGGTATGGGATATGTTTTTGAACCAATACAATGTCCGTTCTTTGTGGATGAATGCTGCGGTCTCCGATTATGACCTGGAGTTGTATACGGATGTGGCGGGATCAGTAGGCTATGCAGCATATTTTCGGGGGAAGTGGAGCACGGGCTTATGGCCAGACTCATGGAGGCAAATTTCTTGGTGAACCTGGTACTGCTGGAGTTGTTCCCTATAGTGTTGGCTATGGTATTGTGGGGTCTGGAATTTAAGAACAAAAGGGTGAAGTTTCATTGTGATAAAATATGGGGGTGGTGTCCGCCATTAATAACATTTCTGCTTCTTCTCCGCCAGTTGTTCGTCTGCTTCGGCATTTGGTTTTACAGTGTCTTTGTTTGAATGCGTATGTTTATGCCATTCATGTGCCGGGAATTTCTAACTCAGTGGCTGATGCTTTATCTTGCTTACAGTGGGAGCGATTCCGTCAGTTGGCACTGCAGGCGGAGCATTGTGGAATACCTGCCCCAGCCACTTGTGGGAGGTGGCCTTACAATGATAGCTGTTCTTGTTCGTACGTCTGTTTGTATGCGGCGACAAGGTCTTCCTATGAGAAGGTCTGGAACAATTGGCACGAGCTGGTAAGTTCAGTGAGGGGGTTGCCCTAGTGAGGAGGATTGTTTGTGTGCCTTGTTATAAATTGGTTGGGACTTTGAGTGAGGAGTTTCGGTATTGGTGGTTTCTCACAAGCTGGCAGCCTTGGCTTTCTTGTTCTGGCTATCGGGGTTTCAGGATGTCACAAAGTATTTCTGGGTGACAAAAGCCATTAGAGGTTATAGCAAGGGCTGCCACATGTCTGATTCTATTTCGCCCTATTTCTTTTGACATTCTTGGGGCCATTTTGAGTCGTTTGCGGGAGGTATGTTCAGCAATGTGTGAGGCATTGCTCTTCAAGACGGCTATGAGAATTGGAGAGTTGGTTTGTCAGTCTAAACAAGGGGGTGGGGCTTTGGCTTTGTCTAATGTCATCTATAGTGGTGACAAGGTTTCCTTCTTTATTTGACACTCGAAAACTGACCAGTTGGGTTGTGGGGCTTTGGTGGATTTGGGCCAGTCCGGGATTATGGGGCTTCTTCCGGTGCGGGTGGTTTAGGAGTGGTTGGGTGTTAGGCTGCCTGAATCGGGGCCTTCTCTAATTCATGAAGATGGTTCTGCTTTGTCCAAGTTTCAGTTTGTGTCTGTGTTGCGAAAGTGTTTGCGGTTGGCGTCTTTCCAGCATCAAGAATACTGTTCTCAGAAGCTGCCAGATGTGGTCTGGATGATTGAGTGGTGAAGCGGATCGGTTGCTGTGAATCTAACCATTTTAGG